AAAAAAAAATTTACTACTGTTTGGTTCGTTAATGTCAATAAGTAGCTTTCCATTAGATACACGCTACATATACATATATATATATATAATACATATATATACATATCATATATACATATACATATACACATATAGATATACATATATACATATACATATATACATATATACATATATACATATGTACATATACATATATACATATACACATATACACATATATACATATATACATATACATATACACATATACACATATATATACATATACATATATACATATATACATATATACATATATACATACATACATATATATATATATACATACATACATACATAGATAAAACTATTCAGAAAGAAATTGGAAACTCTACAAGTATAGTAGATACTGGTTTATGCGTGAAATTTAAAGCGAGTAAAAGATTAAACTTGTATATTATATTACGTGTGTTATGATAATTGTATAGCATACCTCGTCCAGCTCCGGTCACGAGAATACGTTTCCCTTCGAAGCTGATGTTCATGACTGCACATGTGTTACTAACTACCGAATGATGTCCCTTGTTAAACACGTATATTCCGCGTGACCCCACCAATGATCGGCTATATATGTGTGCTTGCTTATATTACAGAGGGCAGGGTAAATCTTCGGCGCTTATTCAAATGAGTTTCAAACTTTATTGCATTATTAGTCGTTATTTTAGGAATCTATGTGATCCGTATAATCATTTTGGTATGACATTTTAATTTCATTTGTCGTTGGTCGCTGAACGTTCCTTGAAGTATACTTTAAATAAAGTTTCGCAAGATGTAAGTTTACTTATCGTATATCGGAATAATTATAATTATAATGAAAGAAGCTGTTTGCGCGAGCAAAAATTTTCCCGCTTTATGTTTTAAAATTTCTAGTCGGCGAGTCATCTCGAATTATCGATTATGTATCGATATTCCACTGGATTAATTATCGATATTGCAATTGACAGAGAGGTTAATTTCTGTCAAATTTGTAGCCGTATGAAAGTTGCTCTGCGATTGTACACGTTATTTGATCATTGAAAGAATGTAGATGAGTGAAGTTTCAATAAGTACCTCAATAATCAATAAACACTTTAAATGTGTTGTTCGTTGAACACCAGTGTATCATAAGTTTTTAACCTCTACGTAACGACGTTTCTTGACAAAACTTTCTAGAATAATGCGTAGCATCCGCTAGAAATTGCTATTTTTAAGCAACGAACGTGCAATTTGAATAATCACGCTGTTTTGAAGGTTAACTTTCCTTATGGTAATATACGTTTTGAGGTAATATATGTTTTGTAATGTTTTTTTTATCACATTTGTTGTTAAGTTCTTTCAATAAAGCTAATTTAGCATTTACATCAATCTTGCAACACAAAATGATTTTAATTGTATAGTTTTACATAGGTTGGAGTAAGGTATGAAAACATTTGTTTTGAAGCCATTATAATTTTTGTCTTCGTTGGAGAAGAACCATTGGAGAAAAACCATTGGAGGAGAACATCGGCAACGAAAATCATATTTGACTTTTATATGATTACAAAAATTGTGGAAACGATGGCATCCGAAGTCTTCTTAGGAAGTGGCGGCACATTTCACCGTGCTTTAATGTTCATGCTCAAACTTGGTTGGCAATCAAGGTTTCGTTTGCCAATGCTTTTAATCATTGTATTTGTTGCTATAGATTACAGGCTTCAATTAGAAATTGAATTTGAAGTTAATCCCGAACAACATAATCATTTGTGATCAAGGATTTAAATTACTTATAGGTTATTTTTAGATTGTATCATTGAAGGAAATTTTAAATTATCATAGAAGGTACAAGAGAGCTATTTTTCAATGCGTATATAATAAGAATTTCAAGGGTAAAAGGGTATTGTTGATACTTTTACTTAAGTCTATTGTAGTTTCCGATTAGTGTAGATTAACACATTGCGTTTGAATTATGTTGACTAAGAAAATCTTTAACTAATGTCAATATTTTGAAGTATTTGTTGGAATAATTATAGGATCTATAGCATGATATGATAATTTCTAAAGCATATCTATTTCTTATGGTATGTCTTATTTTATATTCTTTTATATTATATTGAAATATATCACTTTTAATTTTGTAACAAGTTACATATGTGAGACTGACGTTTAAATAAGTATATTTCAGTAAAATATGACAAAGTTAAGATGAATGTGATCAAATTGCTTAAGATAGTACAGCCAATAAATAATTAAATTCTTTAGGATTTTAACCATCGTCATATATTTAATCGTCAAAAATGTCTATACATCTATACAAATACATGTATATTTTTGCTATTAAAACTATGAAATATATTTGAGGATATGTTAATAGTTTATTCAGGACATTGTTATAAAAGGCTGGTGATACACTGACATTTTATTCTTTCTCAATATATATAATTTCTTTTATACATGTTAGTATATCTTTAACATAATTGTATAACTTTAACATAAGATTTACATACTAGACAAGCAATTTTATTTTAAATCTTAATAATTTACAAAGGAATAAAGAATAATAAGTAATTAACTATTTTGAGTATGAAAGTGAATTTCTTGAAAATGTATTAGAAAAA